TTCAGAGAAGACAAGCCGTGAATATTTCCTAAAAAATAAAACAAAATAATGAATATATAAACACATACTTATATATACATTATATGTTTATATATATATATATACATATATATATATATATATATATATATATATATATATATATATATATATATATATAAACATGTGTATACATATATATATATATATATAAAACAGGGAATATATACGTGGAATATATATATATAACATGTATATACCCAGATTGTACACAGCTTCCGGTACAGCTTCTTGTACGCTGTGACATCAAAGTTGCCACGGGCAACTGCTTCGACTGGCAGGCTAGACCTTGTGAGGGTAGCCGACGGGTAGACCTTGTGAGGGTAGCCGACGGGTAGACCTTGTGAGGGTAGCCGACGGGTAGACCTTGTGAGGGTAGCCGACGGGTAGACCTTGTGAGGGTAGCCGACGGGTCTTAGACCCTCGTGATTTTTCTGAAGGGCTTGCTTACCCGAGCATGCGAAGACTGGTTTCCCGGCGTATGAAGAGGATGAGATTAACAGAAGGCCCAACGGTTTTGAAGGCGGTACCAGCAAGTGCAACTTTGATGTCACAGCGTACAAGAAGCTGTACCGGAAGCTGTGGAGTGCATAAGGGCATGGACAAGGCACCAAAGAAGTTCTCGCCATCCACTGCAGCCTGGCAGTCTCCAGACGTAACGGTCTCCGTGCCACTGGGTAAAGGCTTCCTGGGCCGAGGGAGTAGGACTGCCACCGTGCAACAACGGTTCCACTTTTCATTCTCCAAATACGACATTCCAGAGTCCCCACTGCAACAGACATTGTACATCCAAGATCGGATTGCGCAGCCATAGCGCGTCCACAGATACGCTGCTGGATTTCATCGCCATCTTCAGCAACGAAGGACTACCTACATATATATTATTATATTTACACACACACACATAACACACACACACACACACACACACACACACACACACACACACACACACACACACTCACAAACAAACATATATATAAATATACATATATATATTTATATATATATATATATATATATATATATATATATATATATATATATATATATATATAATAATTATACAATATAAACAATCAAAAGTTATGATGGAAGTGAGTAGCAAGATTGTCAGATGCAGGGAAAAACATACGCTACTTGAGCTCCACTCCGATCAAACACTTGGAGTGTGCTGGTTCAGCGTGAACATTTGCAGTTTCCAAGGACTCATGAGCTATGGAAGTCACCAAACTTTGGCGGTCATTTTCTCGCCAATTTTACTTCTGAAACCAGGCGACCCCACCTTCTTTAATTGCAAATACCTCTACTTCTATTCAAGAAAAATGATATTTATTTTTCGTCAAATGCAAGTCAAATGAACAACATTTAAGAAGATACCAATAACTCCATATACACAACAATTGACAATTAAATATACAATTGTTTTTCTTTACTATTATAATTTATGGTGGAAGTGAGCAAGATTATCAAATGTACGGAAAACATACGCTACTTGAGCTTCAGATCCGCTCCGATCAAACACTTGGAGTGTGCTGGTTCAGCGTGCTCACTCTGACCCCGGTGCGTCGGGCCTTCCTGTGCACCATACGCCGGAACGCGTTTCTGAACTCTGGGCTGCTGAAGTTGTACAGGAAAGGGTTAATGGTCGAGTTGACGTACGTCATCCAGAACGTGACGTCGTACACAGCTTCCGGCACCAGCTTCTCGTCGTACGCCGTGACGTCGAAGACGATGTGGAACGGCACCCAGCAGATGAGGTAGCCGACGATGATGTAGGTCAAGGTCACGAATACGCGCACTTCCCGTCGTTCCCGCTTGTCCTCCTCTCTCTGAGCGGCGGTGGCGGCGGTGGTTTCGCTGTCCAGTTTCTTCCTCCTCAAGTCGTGGACTTGGCTCGGGATTTGTAAAAGATTGTTCGTCCTTCTTTTCACGCCCCCGCCCTCCGTAACGGTCGTTTTTGACAGTCTTTCGTTTGTGCTGCCGTCTTCGTGTACCCCTCCACCTCCCCCTCCTCCTCCTCCTCCTCCTCCTCCTCCTCCTCCTCCTCCTCCTCCTCCTCCTCCTCCTCCTCCTTCTCCTCCTCCTCCTTCCCCATCGACTCCGATGTAGACCCCTCCTATCTCCTCTGCAGTGATCTCGCCGTTACCTCCCGCCATCTCTAGTTTTGCCGCCGACAGAACCACGCCTTTGTCTTCCACGACCGAGATGATGGCTTTGGGCGTCTTATCCCCAACGGAGGATGAAGCTGTAACACAAATGTGGGGTTTGGGGGGGGGGGGTTGTTTGTTTTTTTGAGTAAAGAGAAAG